GAGGTGACCTTGGGGACCTCATGGTGACTTTGGGGACCCTGAGGTGGCCTTGGGGACCCTGAGGTGGCCTTGGGGACCCTGAGGTGGCCTTGGGTGGTCCCCAAAAGGACCCCCCTGAGCCCAGGTGGGGTACCCACAGTGTCCTACAGACCCTGACAGTGACCAAAGGGTCCCCAAGGTGACCTCAGGACCTCTTGGAGATGTTCCATGGGGTCTCCACCCTGTCCTACAGACCTCCAGTGATCCTAGAGACCCTCACAACAACCTCAGGACCTCTTGGAGATGTTTTATGGGGTCTCCACCCTGTCCTACAGACCTCCAGTGACTTTGGAGCCTCTCATGATGACCTCAAAACCCCTTTGAGATGTTTTATGGGGTCTCAATGCTGTCCTACAAAACTCCAGTGACTTTGGAACCTCTCACGATGACCTCAAAACCCCTTTGAGATGTTTTATGGGGTCTCAGCGCTGTCCTACAGACCCCCAGTGACTTTGGAACCTCTCATGATGACCTCAAGACCCCTTTGAGATGTTTTATGGGGTCTCAATGCTGTCCTACAAAACTCCAGTGACTTTGGAACCTCTCACAACCACCTCAAAACCCCTTTGAGATGTTCCATGAGGTCACCATACTGTCCTACAGACCTCCAGTGACTTTGGAGCCTCTCACGATGACCTCAAGACCTCTCTGAGATGTTTTATGGGGTCACCATGCCGTCCTACAAACCCCCAGTGACTTTGGAACCTCTCACGATGACCTCAAGACCTCTCTGAGATGTTTTATGGGGTCTCAATGCTGTCCTACAGATCTCCAGTGACTTTGGAGCCTTTCACGACGACCTCAGGACCTCTCTGAGATGTTTTATGGGGTCACCATGCTGTCCTACAAACCCCCAGTGACTTTAGACAACTTCAGGACCTCTCTGAGATGTTCTGTGGGGTCTCCACCTCATCCTACAAACCCCCAGTGACTTTGGAACCTCTCACAACAACCTCAGGACCTCTCTGAGATGTTCCATGGGGTCTCCACCCTGTCCTACAGACCTCCAGTGACTTTGGAGCCTCTCATGATGACCTCAAAACCCCTTTGAGATGTTTTATGGGGTCTCAATGCTGTCCTACAAAACTCCAGTGACTTTGGAACCTCTCACAACCACCTCAAAACCCCTTTGAGATGTTCCATGAGGTCACCATACTGTCCTACAAACCTCCCAGTGACTTTGGAACCTCTCACGATGACCTCAAGACCTCTCTGAGATGTTTTATGGGGTCTCAATGCTGTCCTACAGACCTCCAGTGACTTTGGAGCCTTTCACGACGACCTCAGGACCTCTCTGAGATGTTTTATGGGGTCTCCACCTTGTCCTACAGACCCCCAGTGACTTTGGAGCTTCTCATGATGATCTCAAAACCCCTTTGAGATGTTCCACGAGGTCACCATACTGTCCTACAGACCCCCAGTGACTTTGGAACCTCTCACGATGACCTCAGGACCTCTCTGAGATGTTTTATGGGGTCTCAATGCTGTCCTACAGATCTCCAGTGACTTTGGAGCCTTTCATGACGACCTCAGGACCTCTCTGAGATGTTTTATGGGGTCTCCACCTCGTCCTACAAACCCCCAGTGACTTTGGAGCCTCTCATGATGATCTCAAAACCCCTTTGAGATGTTCCATGGGGTCTCCACCTTGTCCTACAGACCTCCAGTGACTTTGGAGGCTCTCACGATGACCTCAGGACCTCTCTGAGATGGTTTATGGGGTCACCATGCTGTCCTACAAACCCCCAGTGACTTTAGACAACTTCAGGACCTCTCTGAGATGTTTTGTGGGGTCTCCACCTCATCCTACAAACCTCCAGAGATTTTGGAGACCCTCAAGATGACCTCAGGACCTCTCTGAGAGGTTCCATGGGGTCTCCACCTTGTCCTACAGACCTCCAGTGACTTTGGAGCCTCTCATGATGATCTCAAAACCCCTTTGAGATGTTTTATGGGGTCTCAATGCTGTCCTACAGATCTCCAGTGACTTTGGAGCCTTTCATGACGACCTCAGGACCTCTCTGAGATGTTCTATGGGGTCTCAATGCTGTCCTACAGACCCCCAGTGACTTTGAAACCTCTCATGATGACCTCAAAACCCCTTTGAGATGTTCCATGGGGTCATCATACTGTCCTACAGACCTCCAGTAATTTCCAAGCCTTTAATGATGATCTCAAGACCCCTTTGAGATGTTTTATGGGGTCTCCACCTTGTCCTACAGACCTCCAGTAATTTCCAAGCCTTCCACGATGACCTCAAGACCCCTTTGAGATGTTTTATGGGGTCT